GTGTAATTTTCTTTTGCATATGCTCGAAGCATATAAAATACGCTCGCTCAATTATGAAATTGCATTACTCCGGGAAAAGTGGAACAAGTAAACGGATTAAAGGCATGTAATGCACGCGCCGCTCGAGGCTATTACCGTCTAGTTTTATACGCAAAGTTTACAGGCGCATCGATGCGTTTACCCGATCAAATGCTTGGACGACTACCCGCATTACGCACCTTCATTGTTCTTTCATTGTTACAAGAAATGTTTACATTTCGCGCAATAATGCGATTTATTGCGATTGTCAATTTCTAAATTTTTACACTGTTTAGCATCGCTAAACATTGCGACACTGACAGAGATCAAATAAAGCGAAGAAATTAATTTTTGGAACAAAAAATGGTTATGTATTATGTGGAATATCTTATGCTGCGTAATTTTGTAGTAAATTATACAAAAACTGTGGAATAAATTAAAAATTTTTGAGAAATTTAATTTAAATATTACAGGAAAAATAAATTTGTTGAATATTATTTAATTGTGAAAAGAGATGAAATTATACGGAATCAAATGAATAGAGAATATCATAGACAAATTGAAACTTCAAGAAATGTCAAAAATATTTGGAATTAAGTAAAATTAAGATATGACTGAAAATTGACTTTAATTATTGCAAGAAAAAGAGAGAAAATATGGTTAAGGAACATTGATAAGAAATACGAATCTTTTACCAAAGTTTTCCAATAGTAATTATTTTTTTATTTTATCGTTAAGTATTAATTTCATTAATTATTTTTTTTGCAAAAAACTTGTATATAAAAATTAAATGATAACGTAATGACTAAAAATATTTCAATCGCGTTGTACTTGTAATATATCTGGAAAACATTTAATAATGAGAGGAATTTCCTTTATATGTTTTATTTACTTCTGGAAAAGTTTTTCCTTCACGAGATATTTATTTCTTTCCCACAATAACGCAATTCTTTCTCACTTTTTTTTGTTACTACACAGTGCACATACATATATAGACTATGTCATACTGAAGTCTTAAATGAGATAAAGCATTAGTTATTAGCACGAGTTATTTGCGGCAGCTCAGGATGCGGAGCGGTAACTCGTTCGAGCGTCTATAGATCGTATAACACTTTGTAATGCACCGGTGGCAGTTCATTTAGATATTAGGCCACAGTAACGCGTATCCCCGGATACGAGACGTGAAACTTCGCCTACGGTTAATCGAATCTCGCTCGAGACGCTGAGCCATGCTTTAATTAGTAGCCCCAACCTCGACCGCTTAATTCACTCGCATTTCGACCTTGAGAATCGAGTCTCTCTCTCTCTCTCTCTCTCTCTCTCCCTCCGTCTTGCCATTAACGCGAATACCGTGGCTGTCTACCGTTCTCGCGCGTCCCGACAATAAAATTTCCATTAAAAGTGAAATACCCGTTTCTTTTCCTTTCCGTCGAATTCCGCCGCTTTTGATTACGGGACGCGGACGTGGAAAGTACGCGGCCAGAAACTTGGGACGGCGATGTAAAAATTTATTCGCTCCTCGGTCGTACTTATTTCGCCCTTATCTGGACGTCGACACGGCGGGATAAGTACGGCCGACGAGGAGAGAAAAGAGAGCAAAGAATAAATAAGAGAAAAAGGGAGAAGAAGGGGGAGGAGGGGAGGACAGCAAGGAAAACGCGGCGACGGGGAGGCACGAAAACGCAAAGAGAACGGACGAAGGTGGAAACGAGGGAGACGAAGTTGGGGAAAACCCGGTGAGCATTAAGACCAGATTGAAAATTGAATTATTAACGAGCGGCCTGCCGCCCGGCATGTAAATCATACGGAAATATTACTTTTCTTTTCCCAGGGAAAAATGTGGCTCGAACGCGAGACATCATCCGGATGCAGTTTCGTTCGCAAGGGCAATCTTCTCTCTTTCTTTCATTTTCTTTTTTCTTTAATCTTCAATTTCTTTGTTTCTTTTTTTTTCCACCCGTTTCTTCGGACCACTCTTCCACATTGCTTAAGCGTTTCTTCTCTAATTTTACGCCACGTCACAAGTTATCGTTCCCGCGAGATCCACTTGCGCAAAATGCAGCGTATATATTACGCATATTACGGGTGTTCGCTTATCGTCACATTCAGCTCTCGCATCTGACATCCTCTCATCGACAAGCGACACCCTTAAGCGACAATGCGAAAAATAGGAATTCTTTTTGAGATATTATTCTAATGATTTTTTTTCAATTTCTGCAATTTTTAAATACTTAAAGCTTATAAGATAAAAATTTCGGTAACACGAAGTTCATATAAAATTAATCACAGCATAACATTCGGTTGTTGTCCATCTCTGAAGCTCAGTTCGCTGGCGCGGCTTTACATTTTACAGTATATTTTACATATTATTTCTATACACTCGGAAAATATTACCGTCGAGGATATCGTCGCGAAATAAATATATCCCGCGAAATAAACACCCTGTACATGCGCCTCGTAGTTCCGGCCCGCTGTTTTATTCACTTCCCCGGACAGCTAATATACCGCGTTTAATTGAATACCAAATACTCTCCCATCAGCACGCGCGGCATGATATTTGTATGGAAGGGCATCGCGCCGATTCGCGCACACGGGCGTGACCCGTAACTCTTCTTCTTCGTCCCCCTCGGTGTGCCCTCGGATAATTTTCGCGAAATTTCTCGAGCGTTGTTAGAAGCGAGAGAGAGAGAGAGAGAGAGAGAGAGAGAGAGAGAGAGAGAAGCGAGAATGCAGCAGCACACCGCACTGCTGCGACTCCGCTTCCAATATCCGCGAGCGGCACTGACAGATGCGCCTGTACTGCAGCGAACCCCGACTACGAGGCAGTCACGAACGGCTGGTACGCCAGGCGACACGTTGCAAACGCAGAACGTGGTGAATGGGAGAGTTGGAAAGTTATTCGGGACGCGTCACCATCATCGCGCCGGGCAACACGCCCCTTTTTGCGCCCAAATCAATTTCTTCTATACGAGAGACCTCCCGCGCCGACGCTCGTTGTGCCTCTTCTTTTCTTCCTTTCTTTTACAATTCGAGGCCTCATACGCTGACCCAGTGTGCAGCTTCTTAATTTAGACGCAGAGGCAGCAAACGCTAAAAGGAAATGTTATAATTACGACGAAAAGATATGTATCTCGTGCTTTGTCATATCATTCCGTTGATATTTTTTTTATATCGCTTTGAAGTATCAAAGAATCGCGTGTACGAGATTGGAGACGGTGGAGAAATAGCAAAAACTGAATACCAGAAACTCGCATATACATATACATATGTCGCTTTATAATATTTAGAGAGCTGTGTTTTTTTACTTGCCTATTAAGGTACATGAAATTACACGGCTGATAATGGCTTACTCCGCGATAAAAACAGACGGTGTAATATATTATTGCGGGAGAGAAGAACAAAAGTACTGTGAACATTCCCCCCCTCTCTCTCTTTCATTGTTGTTCCCCATTTCCACGAGTACACACACGCCGCAGTGTGTCATAGTCAAGGTTCGGTATTAATGATCGCATACGTACTCAGAGACAATTACACGTGATTTGTTAGGCGACTATAATTTAAACGGAGGGGGTGGGGGGGGAGAGTCACTACGAATGATACTACAAATATTTCGCGCGCGCAAATGGTTCTGCAATCGATGGCCGATTAACGCGCGGCGATTAAAGCGTATACACGGGAGGAATATGACGCCGCGCGTTGGTCTTTGTCATATTTTTTTTTTACCGTCGTTCCGCGATAAATTGATGAAGTATTTGTATCTCCCGATACGCGCGCACGCGCGCGAGATCGCCAGGCAGCGTAGATCGCGGAAACGAGTTGCAAAATCCTGTCGGCGCAGACGGCCCGCGGCGAAGGGGAAAATCAAAAAGTTACACTTTTTACGCACGTCATATTTTTTCGATGACACACTCGCTCGATCCTTTTCAATCAAAGTTGTTATTTTTACGCGTTTTTATTTATTGCACTATACGAGCGTAAAATTCAATATCAAAAATGCGCACACACGAAGATTATTAGCGTTCTTTTTTTTTTTAAATGTCTCACAGCAATGAGATAAGAAACAAAATCGCGCATTATATGTTGCAAAAATTACGATTCACATTTCCAGGATAATAAATTTCGTACATAGAGACTCGAATGGGACAAGTGACTTCTTGAAACTCGATCTCCATCTTCAAGAAATATAAATATATTTTTTTTAAGCAATTGTCAGAAGACTTATTACAAGAAATGTTTTCCAGCAAGTCTGTCGAATAAATTAAAAAGTTTTAGCTTTTAAAAGTTAAAATATACGTCAAAAAATATACGTTTAAAAAATTTAAATTTCTAAAAATGAATCTTTTTAATTTTTAAAATACATTTCAATGTTGTATTCCCACGTGGCGTTCTATTGAATCGTCCTTTTTTTTTACAATTGCGCGAGTAGGTCATTCGTCGCAAGATCTACAAGAAGGATAAGCTGGTATATGTGCGCGGACGGGCAAATAATTAATGAGACTCTCTCTGTCGTACTCACCGCGTATATTTGTGCGTCTCTTGATAAAGTATATAAATAGCGAATTGTTGGCGCACGGAAACTGTATCGTTCCGTCGAGAGCCTGCCGTGTATCGGCAGGAAAGGATCCTTTTCCCCCAGCGAGCGAAACGCTTTTCCCGCCATAGCAATAGCCCCGGGCGGGTATATATACGCGTATAACTATAGAAATAACGAATGTGTGTGTGTATCTATGTAACAAAAATAGGTTCGTAAAAAGTCATCGGTCGGCCCGTTTCGCCGCGCTCGGGGATCGACATTTCCGCTTCCGGCGCGGACCAGACGACTAACAAACGCGAGTACAAAATAGTCTGCTCTGCTTAATTGAGCGAATAACGTGGAAACGATTCGTCACAAGCGATATCGCATAAAAGTACTGTAACGTGTAAATGGATTACGTATGTAACTATATTAAATCGTGCAGGGGAGCGTGCAAAGGGAGCAAAAATATATCGTAGATAATTTTATTTGTTGTCAAACTGTATACAATATAATAAAAGTTAAGATGGTAAACGCGCGTTGCATGACTAGGTACATTTTTCGAATTTTTTTTTTCGCCACGTTCATTCTCACCGGATCGCAGGTGCGTAACTTATCTCTCTAGCGTACATATATATGTATAGTGGATACATTGAGATAAAAGTCTGATAATAGCTTATACCGAATGTATTTTGTAGCATATTGTTGCAATATTTAGTAATAGTTATTATCAAATAACAATGGTGTTCGATAACAATTACTAAATATTTACAAAGGCATAAAATTAGCATTTAGTTTATTTTGATTATATTAAACATTTGCTTGAATTATTGAATTGGTGAACTATTTCACCGAATCTTCGATAATTATCATTTAACCAATTTGATTATTATTACCAGACTTTTTTTTCTCTCACAATCAGCGCAGAAAGAGGAAGTAAATATACATATGTATATATATATATATATATATATATATATACACGTAATAAATTCTTTTAAATGATCGAGACATTTATAGCAAACGAATGTACACTATATTACAGAGAGAAAGAGAGAGAGAGAGAGAAAGAGAGAAAGTGGCAAAGTAGCAGCCTATTCGGAATTAATTTCACATTTTATATTAATTGATATTTGATCGCGATTCACGGGGGCAGTGTGTCAAGACACTTTCACGCGTCACACACGAGTTTTACCGGGACGGTCTGAATCCGTATTGATAGGCTGACATCACGCTATACACTTAATCAGACTCGGTGAAATTGAAGTGTATTAATCCGATTGGATCGCATTCAAATTTTAATTCAATTAAGTCGTCGCAGGCAATGATTTATAATGGATTTCTAGAGTTAACGCTGACGATGAGTAACGGCGTGACTTGCGGTTGTGTATACGTGATATATACGCGTGTGATGACTGCCGCGTCAGTTTACGTTGACGAGTAACGCGTAACCATTTCGGCGGTTTCGGAATCGAGACGATTGTCTATCCCGCGTGTGTATCCCCGGGATTGTGAGTATATCCTGGTTGAGCTTCGAAAGCCCTTCTCCTCCCCCTCCCCTCCCCCCTCCCCATCTGGCGGATCCTGGCCGTCCGTGGCCATCCGCCATTGAATCGCTCGCGTGCATTCTAAAGCACACACCTATCTTACCCTACATTCCCGCCGAAAGTCCGGAAGATTTTTCTTGCGTTGAGAAAGCGTCGACCGAGTTTCGGCTTCTCTGACCGCCCCCGTCACACCTCGGACGGCGTCTCCGTCTCGCCGCCAAATTAGGACTGCTGGAAAGATGAAACGGCATCAGAGGAATGTCGGTTAATTTTCGGGGCGTCATTTCGCGGATCGCGGCTGCGCGACCGGGTCGGAGAACCGCAAATCGAATCGCGGAAATATTCGGCGCACGATACGGGAAAATGAGGATGTTTGAGGATCGCTAATAATCACGGATTGACTGAATAATGGCTATTGACTTGCGCGCCATGCTGCGGTTAATAAATAGCGGTTACGCAAATAATATTCACCGAGCCATAATCTACCGTTGCTTTAATTAAAACGAATGGAAAGAGAGAGAGAGCTCTTTTTGCCGCTCGAAAGTTTCTAATTAAAATTAAAGCATTTTCTAGGTCTACATCAATGTTGTAATGAAATTGCATAAAATTAATTATCCCAAGATTGGAAAGTTCTTTCGCTTTGTGTATAAGAACCAAGGGAACATTTTCACCATACGCGTTTCTTAACGTAACGGATATATTATAATTTTAAATGATGATGTGCGCGAAAATGCAATGAGAGATGCAGATTTTCACACGCGGATTTTAAGGATTGTCTTAATATTCTCGCGCTACGGCTCGCGTCGTAAACGCTCAAAGCGCCTTTTACGCCGCGAAACGGGGTCATCTTTGTTCAAAGAGCTTTCGAACGGGGTTGTGAGCGCAGATAAAATCGCAGTCCTCGATCACGGCGAAATAAGAAGATATGTAAGAATAAAGTACAATAGCATCGCGGGACGCGCGGACGCGGCTTCTTTCCTTATCCACTTTTAGAGCTCGCGCATCGACGATCGGGTAAAGTGGTAAACCGACGACATTAAATCCAGCTCTGCTCGTAACGTCTCGTAAAACCAGTTTTACTGAACTTCCTTGCCCACCTAACGATTTATCGTCGACCTTTACGGCCGGCCCTTACAAGATAATCCGCGTCATGCGAAAAGTCTTGATGCATGGCGGGCATGGCGTTTACATGATAAAGCCGCGCGAACCTCGTTTCTCCCGTATTTTAAGGGGTCATTTAAAGTCGCATGCGAAAATGGCCGTTAATTTCCGCCGAAACGTCGTTAACGAGAATTATTGCTGAAACGAGACGTGGTTTCCGGTTGCGCGCGAGATACGCGTGTATTTTGTATCTCAGTTTAAGGGCACTTTAGGACATGTGACACGGGCTCCCACATCGATTAATTAATTCACGTTACTTTAATTACATTCAAAGAGTATAATTGTAAAACTTGTGGATATTAATTGCACTCTCTGAAAGTGAATTGGTGGAATTATCATAGCTTTGATTTTTCAGTGTGTATTATTTTACAGTGGCATACTTATAGAACTGTGATAAGCAGTGAGTATTTCAATGTCCTTTTAGTATACTTTAGTATAATGTACTAGTTCAAACAGTGAATATCACTGAAAGACAGTGAGTTTCACTGTCAAATAGTTTTAAAAAACTGAAATTCATTGTCTTTCAACGATATTTACTGTTTGAATCAATATATTATTACTGAAAGGACATTGAAATACTCACTGTATTAATTATCAGAATTCTAATTGCCACTGGAAAATGATATACACTGCAAATCAACGGTAATTCTACTGATTTATTTTTAAACAGAAAGTGAGTATTTTGAATCATTTACATTATGCGCAAAAATAAGACGAACGTACGGTTTAATAAATTAGTATATTTCTCTGTAATATCTAAAATAATCAATAATGCGTATCTTTTAAAATTGTATTCAATGAAATGTTCTTTGGTTTTTATATGCAAAAATCTTCCCATTCTATAGTATTCTTAAAAACTTAAAATTACACTTTTTGCTTATACTGTTAGCTGCACGATTTGAGTGTTTTGTAGTTCGAAAAATGAAGAAAATCAATAGATCGCATGTCATAAATTCCTGCTATTAATCATTCGTTCCGTCTCACCTCCTGTTTGTGACTCTCTACGCTGTTAAGCGCGACAGCTTCGGGTACGGGCTCCTCCTCTTCCTCGACCTTGTCGGAAACGCCGAAGATAGTTTTATACATGAACGAGGAAATCAGGGCGCCGCCGATCGGGCCGAACCAATAGATCCAGTGATGCCTCCACTGACCGTTCCACAATGCCGGCGCGAACGACCTCGCCGGGTTCATGCTGCAACCGGTGTACGGTCCGACCGTGATCGCCAGCACGGCCACCGCAAGACCGAACTTGATCGGCACCGAGTCCGTATTCTTCTCGTTTCTCACATCCCAGACGGAGCACACCACCAGCATCAGGAAAGCGGTCGCGATGCTCTCGACGAGCAAGCCCTGAATCGCGGATAGATCGCTGTGTAGATCGGTCACGCAGAACATATCGGCCTGCTCGACCGTGCCAGACGTCAGCTTATCCTTCGGTGTCACCACCTATAAAAGATATTGTCGAAGTAACAGAAACAACGGTCACATTTTTTCTTGAATGAAATTAAATTTGTCACTTTTTGTCTCATACATTCACCTATTATAAATATAATAATGACGATGAATTTCATCATAAATAAAATAAAATGAGATTTTATTTTAACACACTAAGCAAAGCAAATGTTGTATTAATGGTGGACATTCGCATGCTATCATATTGCAAACATACATAAAGAAATATTTATTTTATTATTTATAAAAATTAATTAACAATCTATTAAAAGGACTTATTTTTTATAAAAACAAATATTTTGTTGAAAAACTATATATATTGTTGTATATATATTGTTATTGCAAATTTTAAATATATTTTATCTTTATTTTGTTGTTATGTATTTTATAAAATAATATTATAAATTGCAACTAGGACATGGCAAAAATAAAAAAAAAACTGAAGAACATCTTGAACAGCATAAAATATATTATACGAAATACTATTTATGCAGTTTCTTTTGCTTTATCTCGCGCTTTTGCGCTTGTCTGCTATCAGCATCAGTGCATGATTTGTATTCTGCCTTCATTAGTTCTATAATAGATCTACATTTTCCACGATCATTGAACTGCAAGGAACATATTTTTCAATAATAGAAGAAAGCAATTGTATTATTATTAATTTGCTCGCTTTGTCTGGATTGCCGTGTCAACATTTCGTTGCGAGAAACAAATATGCCGACAGTAAGGCTTCTCTTTGATTACACGAGAGCATTAATTATAATTATTAACTTCGAATGGCTCGTGTACCGATTAAACAAAGGTCTTGACTCACGTTTCGTTAAGCATTGATACAAACTAATCGGATATATTCCCGATTCATTTTTATCTCATTGTGTAACTCCATAAAACGTCGCCGGCATATATTTGCCTCGCTCGACAATCGTCTTTCTTTCATAGAGATATCATCGAGCGCAAAATGCTAATTGGACATTTTAATAGAATCCACATTCCGTGTAGGTATGCCGTTCCGGCAGTGTTTAGTTTAAATTACGACGGCGAATATGCCGAAGGTCACCACATGTGTCAATACGACCAGAAAAAAATATATAGATTTTTATATTTGAACGTGGCAACTTCGATCGCCCAATTATCTCACAATAGACACTTTTCGCATCGTTATTAATTATTTTGATTTGTAAAAATATAGGAAACTTAACGATGAAAAAAACTCGAGAGACATTCTGTGATCTTAAATAATTTAACTGTGTGAAAAAAAAATAGAAATTAATGTTCCGTGAATCGCTCCGTTTTACGAATCATATTATAAGTAACTGTAATGTTTTTACAATATCATGGATTTTAAAATAACGACACAAAATTTTCTTGCTTTTTTTTTTTTAAGAAAAGATAATTTTAAAGTTGTGGCATAATTGTTTAGATTTCTTCTTACCATGAATTTCCCAATTTCTAAATTTATCTTTGCTAAAGTACGATTTCATTCAACTGTAATGCTCGTGACAATTATGCGGATCAGTAGAAATATCTTCATCTGCACGTAATTAATTGTAATTAATTCAGCGAGAGAGTAATTGGATTTTCTTATACCGACCTTCAGCATACCGTAACCCAGAATGGCACCTGTCATCTGCGACACAAAGTAAACTAAAGCCTCGGGAATGGTTTTTTTCCCAAGAATGATGGCTCCCACGGTGATCGCCGGGTTAATGTGAGCTTGACTGATGTGGCCGATGCACTGAAAATACAGAATCAGAGAAAATTTTTAATCGTCGATGCGTTAACTCTCGCCATCGTGCCTTAGCAAGACGCGCCAATGAAATTCGAAATTGTGACGTAGATGCAAAATTACGAGATAAATAAAAGTTAATGAAAAATGCACGCTATGTATTAGAAAAATTCCGCTCGCAAGTATGATTTTGCTATAGTTTCGTCGTAACCTTGTTTGCGAGCGCAAGCGAAAGGCAATATGTAAATGCCATACAAACGATAAAACGCATCTTTAGTGTGCAATATTAAATTTTGTGATATGTAATAAATTCCTTAAATAAATTGGCTATAGCTTTAATTAGAAATGAAAGCGCGCGCGAAATTCATTTCGAGTTTAATTTTCGATGTTATAGATATGGGAAAATATACTGCATGCCAATCATCGTTTTTTCAATTACCGTAGATAAACTATAGAAATAAATAAAGATATCTCTCTCTCTCTCTCTCTCTCTGTTTCTCTCATTATATATGGATGCACCCAAATTACATCGTTTTGAATTAATTCGAGCCGCCAATGTTATTTAATCACGGAAATTCATCTGGGTGACGTTGCTATACGTAATTGTTATTGCTGTTATTATTGTTTATTTAGTATCAAGCTTTAAGCTTCTCACTTTTCACGTGAAAGACCACAATGTTATAATATGATGGAATAGATGTACAATCTTATTACAGTAACGTAGTACGGTATAATATAATAATAAATGTCAATATCTTAATGTAATTACAACATAGTATATGGCATAGTGATTGACTCTGTGCTACAATTTTTTTATGGTACTAAAATTAGATATATTATAAAATATTGATAATAATTTTTGGAAGAATTATTTATATAGAAAAAATATATATAGGAGGAGGAGGATAATCTAATAATACACATAATATTGAATTGTGATATTTTTTATCAAATTTTGCAAATGAAGATGGAATAATAGTGATCGTAAAACGGCTGTCGAAGTTTTTTTTAGGACTACCTACTGACCTGGATCACAACCATAACCGCGAAGCCGAATGTGATCGCTATCTGTAGGTGAAAAGGCGCGACGCCGAGACCAGCGATGCAACCCATGCATCCCATGAACACTAGCATGGCTGTACCGAGCATCTCCGCCAATCCGGTAATGAGAGCACGCTTCACAGTGCCTTCTCCTTGCATCCATCTTTTTAGTCCTGAAAACATTTCTTTGTTTAAGAAAAAGGGAACTATATAACACACTCTTCTTCATCTCTTCTTTAATTCAATCGCAAAATTAAATATAACAATCCGAATGATGCATATTCTACTCGAAAAATTAAATAATATCGTCAGTATATTATATTTAATACAATTTCATTTTTTCGCCGTTTGTTTCGCACTCGACTGACTTCTCGGAGAAGGTATCCTTCTCGCACTTTGCAATTCACAAAATCTCTCTTTAAGTAAGCAGCGTTACATATGGTTACACCTGTCTCCGCCGAATTACCGTTATTTACCATCTTTTACAATAAATATCTCAATTATCTCGACAGCCTGTCATCGCAGTGACCTTACGGAGTGCGATCGCGTAATAAAGTCAAACATTTCTTAACGCAATTGCATCACACTCGCCTCTCGGCGCCTTACGACGATTCCGCCACATTTTCCACACCGCGTCGCGGCGCACGAGCAAACATGCACAACTCTCGCGAGTACTACGGACGGAATAACTTTCACGCCAGATATACCGGCTTGGCATCGCCGCGGCGAAGGTCGACGCACGCGACATCGACGTCGGTGCCGTTGCTTGCAAGTCGATTGTCATTCGAGGAAAAAACAGAACTGCTCATTTTACATTAATGTAAACGTCGCACCGGACGGAAGTGAGAGATAATTAAATCTTCTAATTATACCCTGAGTTACGCATCACTAAATACGCGTCAAGCAACGCTGGACTTTTTATTTTTTGAAAAACTAAACTTACTATTACAAAAATGTTTTAAAAAATATGTCATAAATATATATATATATATATTGTAATGTATTTTCCGCTGCAGATAAGTGTCTGGTATTTAAAAGTGCGATCTAAAAAGTGGTATCTAAAGTGCCGTCATATCGTCTTCCTTGGCCATGAAATTAAATCTTATAAGGTAGAAATCATAAATTAACGAAATATTTCCTTTGCACTCAATTTTCTTGTTACTTCTTTTTTTTTCTTTTGTTTTTATCCATTTTTCGAATGAATTATAGAATATTAAGATTCTATCATTCCTTTGAAACAAATGTATATAAAAACGCAATTTTTCTGAAATTTCAAATGTTTATCACTTTAGGAGAATTCTTGCCATATAACAGCGCATAAAAAATGAGAGCGCAATCCCTTTTCTATCTTCTTTTCCATGATAAAGAAAGGTGCTTTTTTATCGCAGGGTACATACGCGTCACGATAAAAAATTGCGAGTATGTTTGCATAGTTTACGTCGGCATTGTTATAATTTATGGTAAACTTTGCCACAATGATATATTGTACTTAACATTGCCACGTAACCCGCAATCAGACGCGTAACGTAGCTGCGTTTTGCTCTTCCAATATTGATCTTCTCTTCGCATTTTCTCTCCTTACAATTAGTCAATTAGATAAGAGGAATGTAAATCATAATTCTTACGAATTCCGTGAATTCGATCAATTACGATAAGCAATAATCGTCAGGCGAACATTAGTATCTAAACGCAAGTATTTTACCGTTTATTTTCTAATTAAACGCATAATTAACAGAGCAATGTTAAAATGTATAATTTAAAGTTTTCTAAAGGATAATTGTCAGTACCTTAATTAACTAATTTTATCCGATAATCAGCACAAAATTTAATTTATCGGTTATTTTTCACAGGTAATTATTTATTTGTACAAAGCTTGTAGTGAAAAAAATCTTGAAAAATATAATAATTTTTAAATTATTCGAAAAATATAATTATTCTTGAATTATAATAATACTATGAAACACTTCAGTGGCTCATATTTATCACAGAGTAAACTTTTCGACCAGAGTATTCTTGTGCTCGATAAAACTAGTATACTAATCGATAGTGATGTCTATCAGTGTTCCGTAAATAACGGAAATTTCATGACAAATGTATTAATGGACAGATTCGTTTAACACTTAATGGACATAACAGAAGTTAGTATTGACGTTTGCGAGTTAGAAAAAGCATTACAATTTACGAATAGGTCTGCTGTATTAATAGACAAAAACAAAGCAAAGTAAATGTAAAATCAAAATAACATTTAATGAAAAATTGTCAAAGAAATTTCTTGTTAAAACGCTTAAATGTCAGTTTTATTAAAAACTCAGACAGCAGACATATCGCATTAAGAATGGAATATTTTCAACGTACGCCGAAAATTATATTATTTGTGATTTATAAATGTGTTTCTCTCAGTCTAAAGCTAAATCCTTTCTGATTTATCTTTTTAAAGAGCATATATATTATACATATATCGTGGAAGCATAAATTATTTCAACAGTCTTTTGTATAAAGTACAATTAGGTTTTTTATCAATTAATTTTTATTCGCTGTTAAAGAAAGAAAATATAATATTTGTTCACAATTTTTAATAAATTTTTTTTTTATATAACATTTTATTTAATAATCGCAGCTTTAATAGAGATATTATCGTATCTTATAAGTATTCTGATTTATTGAAGAAAAATCTTTATTTTTACATTTATTATTTAAATAATTATTGCATTGTACATTTACACTGTTAAATCTATAGTGTCAAATTTAACCTTACTTGAGTCGCCTGCACTGCTTCTACTTAATAAATAGTTATTTTTAACTAAAACAATATGGTTATTTTTAAATAAAAATGGAATAACCCAAATTTAGGTTAAATTTGTACTGTTTTAAATTATTTAACTTTACTGTTTTAGTTAAAAATAACTATTTATTAAGTAGGAGCAATGGCGACTTAACTAAGCTGTTAAATTTGACACTTTAGATTTAACAGTGTAATCTGCATCGCATATCAAGCGGTGCTTTTTGTAAAATGCTAATGTAGGTTAAAAATTGTTATTTCTATTCACAACTATATTTTTGCCCATTACTGGGTCATACAGGTCAATAATAAAATATTTGAATTTTATCCCCGATATTGTGCAAGACAGGAAAGGATTTAGCAGTTGACAACTCCACTTTCAGTGCCTGTCGATAATACTTATCCGGCGATAGCGAACAGATATCGCGTGATAAGGATGGACAAATATATTTTTACGAGAAACGCAACAGCTTTATGCATTTAAAATTGGGCATTGCCGTATTTCTGTTCGTTCATATTTTCATTCGAAGTATTGCTCGCCCGCGTGCGGTCAAAAGATGCACACGCGGTGCAACCTGTATATACATATATCGTGCGGGCGTACTAATTGTTTACGACTCGTGCATGCCCAATAATCTTCGGCCATTACACGTTTCCACGAAGTTCTCTTCGCGTAGATTATTCGACTGTTCGATTTTCCATGCTTAAAACGGAGACGCAATTGCATTTCCATTCCGTATTTATTACTGTATTTAATTTATCGCCGGCAGATTCGATACGTGAGTTCTTGCATGAATGCAAAACATCGCGGAGGAGCCAACCGAGGAAACGCATTCCGAGATTTATAACTCTTGTAATTTTTTTTATTTCCTTAACCATCAATGCGAACAAATCGTTGTAATAACTGGTAATTTCGAACGCGCGCGCTCGGTAAATCGTTAGATCAAATAAGATCGGGCAGTTTTTACCGAAAGACAATTCGCTTTTTATTACCTTAAGTAATACCTCGCGGTCTGCAATTATGCATGCATCTCTGATGCATATAATAGCGCATCGCCCGCGCGGGAGTGAATCATCGCAGTCATGCGATAATCCTCATCCGCCGCGTATACATCGATAAATCAAATCCCGGCTTGCGATCGTTAGCATCGACGACGTGAAACTTGAAATTCCAAAGAGCACGGGATGCATCGTCGGGGACGCGCAAGAAGAAGCGCCGGCAGCTTCTTCGGTCGCGAGACACGTCGTTGCTCCACTCTATAATCGCCACTCGACGAACGACCGTCCGCGCTCTCTAACGAAGCTTTAATCTACGATCTACATACAATCGGCTAATTTCGCGGGGGAGGGGGGGAGGGGGGCATCGCCAAGAGATTACGCGGCAATTAACCGCGTCTAATCTGTCTATTAGATCGATAAATGCGCGAACGTCAAACATTAGCTGACGCTAATTGACTAATGATCCGTAGCATCGTATGTACGTGCATATACGCACACACATACGACGGTAAATTGACGCAATTCTTTTTTGTTTGTCCCAAGGCCGCGCGAGGATTAATTTTTTACTTTTATCGTGTTCCATTCAGACGAGCCGGTCTCCTTATCATCTGACGTTCAAAAGAACGTCCTCTTTTGATTTTTATGGACTTTGCACGCGCAGTTGCACAGATACATTGTGCGAATTCTTTCTCTTGAAAAATAATATAATTCAGTATTGTATCATTCCGAGTGATACAATACCATAATCATTGAACTTTCACTTATGACGTTTTTATGAGAAAATTCAGTAATTTCCTCAATTATAATGACACATTTGTAATGAAGAACTAGCGGTAGTTTTTTTTATTTAAAAAATGATGCAGTTTTTAGTGAATTTAATTTACGAATATTTAAAGTATTTTAAATCGACATCTTACAGATAATTATAATATATTATAATCTCAAAGTCCGGATCTTGGTGCCGCTTTTCCCAAACCAGTTTCCTAAGCCGGTGTAGCAATCTCTAGAGTAGCATAACTTTATATGTTACAAAGCTATGTTAACAGACATTAAATGCCATTTTAACAGATAAACGGCATTGCTTCTTGTCGCGGCACGCTTGGAATGAGAAAAACAACACTCCGAGATCCGGACTCTGATTATAATTATGTTATGTAGCTAATTACATTTTTAAAATTATATGTTTATCTAATTGTAAGTTTGTTTAACCTAATGATATATTATTATCATCGCTCTCTTCAGCGTTTGACGATAAAACATTTGCACGTGTAACTTATAAACATTCTTAAAGGATTGACGTCGGCGCTTAGCAACAGCACCGGCCTTTAAAGTATACTATTAGAAACTGAAGTTGCGTTGTAACGATATTTACATTTATAAAATCTCTGCTAGAGGATAGCAAGAATGCAAAAGCTTATCTCTTAACCTCCGGCGATAAGCAAGTTTTTTTCTGTTTCCAATAAAAGAAATAAAATTACATCGCGAATTTTCTTCAATTAGCTCGCTGATTTTATGCCAATCGAATAGGCTGCTAGTATACAGATTCCATTAAAAACAGAGGAATATCAAATTAGATCTATACTAGAAATGCAAAAAGGAACATTTACATACATGTGTTTTGTGGATTTCTCAATTTATCGTTCAATCTGCTCCACATAGTTTTGTACATTGTTTTGTTGCGATAGCTTAGCCTTTATTTCCACGATTGAAATAACTCAATCGGAACAAGTGGTTTTCTCAGTCTCGCTAATCAACTTGCAAAATTAATATCCGTGCAACTGTCATTTCGCTTGCATCAGTATTGTTAAACCTAACCTAGTGTTAAATTTAACCCTATTTGAGTTGCCACTGCTCCTATTTAATTGTATATTAGTTATTTTTAACTAAAACAATGGAGTTAATAATTTAAAGCAGTTCAAAGTTAATCTAAATTTGAGTTAAATTCCATTGTTTTATTTAAAAATAACTATATTGTTTTAGTTAAAAATAATCAAATATTAAGTAGAGCTGTGGCGACTCAAATAGGGTTAAATTTGACATTATAAATTTAACAGTGGGTGTCAATAAGGGAAGCTGCAAGACGACGCGTCGCATTTCGGAAGATATTTCGCGGAAGGAATTTTTTCCAGCCTAAATGTAATTGATGCACGCTTGTTAATTAGATATATCGATCACCGTTTACTTAACAGAATTAAGATAACCGCGGGAAGCGATCCCGCAACTTGCATGTTTATATCGCTGATATCGAATGGGTTTATTTCCACACCAGTACGATAAAGGCCAATAGCATCGAGTTATCCAGTAGCAGTGAGTCGAAAGTCTAATCTCGTCGCCGACCGTTGAATAAATATATATTCCCGCTAAATAATCTTTCGCCGTTGAAATACGTTTGGTAAATACGCAAAGAGAGTCTCTCGCGGTGAATAGCGAGATGTCCGATGTCGGCGGGATCTTTAGTTCCCATAAGCAGATATCGAAATGAAGCAAATAAAAAATTCTGTCTGTGCCAGGCAACCTTATCTGTCGTACGATATAACTTAATAATACGATTTTTATTTTATCTTTTATCCAAATTCTTGATGCGCTACTTTCATAAGCGTTGATAATATTGATGGAATCTTTTGTACAGACGCGATATCATTACTACGTCACGATGATAAAATAGAAATCTTTGCCGCGGTAATAAAAAAGAAATAAAAAATACGTTATAATTATTAATATACATATATACAGATCTTAATAAATATACTAACTTTCTATTTTATGATGAAAAAAAACTATTACTATTAAATCTCTCTCTCTCTCTCTCTCTCTCTCTAGTGTCACATTTAACCCTATTTAAGTCGCCACTGCTCTCCTACTTAATACATAGTTATTTTTAAATAAAACAAATTGGAATTTAACTCAAATTTGGGTTAAATTTGAACTGTTTTAAATGATTTAACTTTATTGTTTTAGTTAAAAATAATTATTTATTAAGTAGTTGCAGTGGCGACTTAAATAAATTTTGACATTATAGATTTAACAGTGTAAAAGGCGAAATTTATATATAAAGTCAATGATGTTGCAATTTTCTCACATTTAATATTTATTCAGCAATTAGTAACGCGATAAGATAGTCATCATTTTGATAGGCAATCACCAGTTTGAATTGTGTAAAAATTCTATCGCGCGCCTTAATATATTTCTTATTGTCTGGATTAAATAAATGTATATTTCGTTCTCATTGTAAATATTTCAAGCAGTTAAACGTGCAGGCGTGAGAAATTATATCTTGAGACACAATGGTCGGGAAAAATGTATCTGACGCGTGAACGTTCCGTTTGTATGAGTCAAATAATCTTTTACAGTTTGTCGATAAAAATAGTACTCCAATCGGAACAGATGAAAAATAAATTCTTGAAGTTATGTATACATATATGTTGCGGTCTCGAAAAGTTGTCGTAGACAGGAACTTCAAAAAAGTCAAAATTAACGTAGTATTTTACACAAAAAATCTTTATCCTTGTTGCACGAGATTACAAGATTTAGCGTAATTCAGTAGATGAAAAAGATTAGAATTTAACGTTATGTAACAGCAAGAGAAGCAACCATGAGCAAAACTTAAATATAGTTCCTCGAGGCTTATAATTTAAATACTATTCAAATTAAAATTCGCTTCTTACACAAGGCCTTTCGATTTATTTAGACCGGTCGACACCTGTCACACGTGTTCGTCAATATCGCTTAAATTGCGCGGAGGAGAGAATTGTCGTAATGAGCCTTTGTTCCGCAGTAATATACAATTATCATATTATATCGCCATGAATCGTATTACAACGAATTATATCTAACATAGATACGCGTGTTCGTGGCTGCGCAGACATGAATGACGTTAATGACAAAATTGTTCATATTCAATCTACGCATCTGTGATTGTCCAAGGCACTAAATGATCAAATTTATGCGCGTAAAATGTTTTTGAAATATTTACATATAGGCTCAAGAAATATTTTAAAAAATCTATTTAATTAGGGTATTAAAAACTAAAGAGAGAGATGTTTTTGCTCCTGTATATATTGATAAGGAACGTACGAAAATTGACGATAAATCAATTATAAGATTAATTTGAGAGCGGTTATAAAAAGAATTCGCTCACATCGCTATCGATAGATAAATTTTGTCTCTTACTGATTTTTCTGATTGTATCTGACATATCTTTGATCGCAGATTTCTCAAATGATCGCTTGCAATTCTGTACTGCAACGCGTGATTCCTATCCTTGCAAGGATGATTCAACTGTGCTATAAGAGGAATCATGTAATTGCAAGGAACGACGCACGCGTTGTAAATTCACCTTATAATTGACTATGTAACATTGAAAATAACCGTTATTCAAGATCGAAACGTTTATGAAATAGACGCGTGTTCTATGAATACATTGAATTTGTTCTACGTTTATACTTATTCGACGTTATTAATTTATGTATGATTGTTATCAATATATGTACAGGAGCAAAAGAATCTTGCTTGACTCTTCAGCTCTTTTTCCCCTAATTAAATTGGATTTTACTCTTACGAGCCTTAATACATATAATTAAGTTTTAACATTGAAAGATCGATTTGAAAGAAAAGACATCGTTTAAGTATTGATCTAATATTTCCTTCCGTCGTATGATCATTAAGTCCTATTTTAACTTCACTAAACTGGCAGTTGAAGGTGAAGACTATTCCGGTATCTGGACTATGGTCGACGGCTCGGCGTTACAGAATAACTTACTCGAAAATGACAACGTCACAACTATTGACAAGTACGAAACACGTAATGAATCGTGCCAGAGGCACAAGTTTCGTTTGCACACGTCCTGGATACATTTCGAAATGGCTATGTCACATAATGCACTAACGGCTTCATTTGCAATTTCCGCTTTATCGCTCGTCGTTAAGGTATACTTGTGAATTTGTTTTTCTCTCTTCTATTGTAGTGAACAGCACACAAATCGTTAATTACTGTTTGTAATCTTCCGACAATCGGTTGCGAGGCAAAAGTATTTCCAGACTCTTACTCTCGCAAATTCCTATAGTCGAACAAAAACGGCTCTAATGGGAATGTCTTACCTGCGCGAAAATCACTCGCCGGCATGACGGAGCGTTTTCGAGCCGCGGGAATCACAACACTACAAACACAACTTCTGGACGACGGACTTCCGACTGGTCTTTGGCGACGGAGAGAAAGACACCCGTGCGCTCCGTCGGCCGGTCCTCTTGTGAACGGGGAATGATCGCGACTCCGTTCTATCGCGCGGAAAGAACACACGCGTGGCCTCTCTTCTCACGATGGATGTAATGATGTAGTGATTATATGCGCGGACTCCCTACTTCGGCAGCCGTTGCTCGTTTGCTCGTTCGTCAAAATCAGGCGGGAATGCTAATTTCAGAAAAGCGAGCTCTCCAGGGACGGGGAGGGAGAATGTTGACGTTATTGTTTGTGTCACGCGTCAACAGTTTTTATAATCGTTAATATTAGAACGAAACACAATACGCGCGCGCTACGTGTGAACTATTTGCTTCTGATACAACAATAAATTTTACTTTATTTTTTAATATTTAAAAAATACTATTATATATAGAAGCGAGCTCTCCGGGAAAGGGGAAGGAAGAATGTGACGTTATTGTTTGTGTCACGCGCCAACAGTTTTTATAATTGTTAATATTAGTAGTTTTATAATTGTAAATGAAAAACAATGAGGGCTACTTGCTTCTAATACAATAATAGATTTTACTTTATTTTTTATTATTTAAAAAATATAATACATATTATATATAGATATTATATAGATATAGATTTCTGATAATAATATTGGATTTAAATTTTTCATTAAACGATATTTGCGATATTTACAGTAAGACATATTTTGTTAATTTTTCATTAAAATTTATTTTATTTTATTTTTTTACAAGTAATGAATAAAATTACACGATATAAATATGTATTAATTATACTATTAACTACTTTTTAATATTAAAATTATTAATATTGAGAAAGGAAGATAACAAAAAATAAAATTCATTTTTAAATACAAAAACTAGATTTTAAATCTTAACCAGATTCTGCAATTGTGCCTTAATCGATACTACTATAACCAACGGCCGAGACTGAGAAACTTTTTATACCACAAACAATGCTAGGAAGTAATTTTCTATGCCGTTAAACTTCCAATCTTCATCGCGATCTGCAATACTGACGGAAAACTCCGAGAATTCATAGGATTGACTAATAAACAAATAACGACTAAAGATGCCTGGGATATTATAGGACATTATTATATATCTTTGAGTTCCGTATTCTCGTATTCTCGTATTTACTTCGTTGCACAACACTTTTTCTCTATCATTAATCAAACTCTTTTGCTTCTGCTTTAATTTTTAAATTATTTTTAGACTGATGTCATTTTTCCTACGCGCGTAAAATATTCGATTTTCGCGAATGTCAGTTTCAAATTTCTAATAATAAAATAGAATTCTAATTTTGGAACGGACCGTTTTTTTATATAAATTTCGCGACAATGCGTTTCGCTTTCTCGCGCCGTTATTTTTACATTCCTCTACCGTAATTGCGCAAGCCTTCTGCCTGGCTTTTCAAGGCTTCTCAATTGTATACGATCGTCACGTGGCTACTTTTTTATACAACAAGTAACATTCTTGACCCGTCTGTATGATATGCACAAATATATATATTTTTTCTCTGCATATTAAATTGTTATCGATAAAATGCGAATAATAAATTTTTCGTAGCTCTTGACGTGACGATATATGGAAAACGCACTGCGCGGCATGAATGTAAGATACTAGCTCACTTGGAAATACTGGTAGTAAAATCGTAATCCTGCAATAAATTGCATATTCGCGGAATATTTATTGCCGCGCAGTTCTAAGCTGCTTACATCGCAGATGCTCGCGGGCTACGCTCGGCGCTGGTTTTTAGAAAGGAGAAAAATTAATTTCTTTTTTTTTTTTTTTTTTTAAATTAATTGTACCACTTTTCTACAATATAAATTCTTACAGTACAAATTTGCTCCACGAGCACGAATGCGCGCCTCGGAGAGGAAAATCACAACTCGTTAAAATTACATCGTATACGTTAATTTGTTCGAGAAGCCACATATCCCATTACAATTCCGAACGCACACGTGCAACATTCGAATGTAATCCGAAATTCGATCTTATTCTCCTCCCTCCCCTCGACATCGCTTCGCGCAACAAACGAAGCTCGCGAATTCCGGATCCAGAATCTACCGCGCGGTTTCGCACTCAGGCTCTTAAAGTTATTGTTATCTATACAAGAGAGGTGGCCAAAGGGGCGGGGGGAAGCGGGGTGAGATAGTCCGAAATGTGTATCTTATATTTACATGTACATTAAGCCGCGGTACGTAATTGCAATCGCGTGCATACACACACGCATATATGGACACTCACGATCACGCTCGACACGGCGCGTGTATATAGATACGTACCGAGTACAATTAAAACTTTGGCGCGACCGACGGCGATGTGGAGGTAATTTCCTGAATTCACCGAGACTAATTCCGTTATTTCGAATTTCGTCGCAGCAGGGATACGAGAAAGAGAGAGAGAGAGAGCAGGAGGGAGGGAGGGAGAGGGAAAGAGAGAACGGCCGCGTGTTGCGCTGCTGCGCGCGAGAGCAGCCATCTCAACGTCGGTCTTAACGAGCTGTATCGCATACGATATAATGACGGCGAATTTAGTGGAATTGCGAGCGAGCGAGCGAGCGAGCGAGCCCGAGTCTGTAATCCATAAATTTGCTAATAATTAATAAAAAGCGCGCGGGCGAGAGACTGGCCGCGCAACGGCCGGCGCCGCCGCACGTGAGATACGCGCGCGATGAGAGAGATTTCGTCTACGCGTGCGCTTTGCGTTACAAAGTAATGAAAAAGTAAAGAGAAACATGGGGGGGGGGGACGGAATGGGGGAGAGTTAATACTTGAAACTGGATGTATACTGCTAGAGAAGACGGAATCATGCATTATTCCGGTGCTTCGCTTCGTGTTATACGACATAGAGCGATCTCCTTCGAAGGTGCTGGCGGTGAAAAGAGACTACCTAGACTACGTAGCAAAAATATAAATATATAAATACGCGTCACGGCTGGGCAATAACTCAAACACACGTTATCGGTATGGATATGTGAAATGCATCCAACACTGATTATCATATGTTCTGATTTTCTAAATATAAAGTTTTCAAAATTTTATTCAGAATTTTCTTCTTTAAAGGATAAGTATTGCTTATCTTTTAGATCAGCAACACTTATCCTTTAAGGAAGATCATTTGTATCAGCAATATTCTGCGTATTCTTGCTCCGAAATTATTATTTTATTATAATTATTTTATTTCGGAATAAGAATTTATAATTTTTATTTTATTTTATATTTTATATCGAAAAAATGCATTTCCACAGTGTCTTGCACGGCCGTGACGCGGACAAAGTAAATAAAATATAATTACTACAACGAACATGCTAAAAATTTTCACATCTACTGCATCTAAAGTTACAGCTAAAGCTAACAAATGTTAGCACGCGGTTTCTTAATATTATATATCGTATTTTTGTACAACAATGATCCATCACATCAGTCTACGACGTAAGAATCCTTGTCGCGTTGTGACAATCCTTCGATGCATCGCGATCCTTCGAGCCACGAGATTTTTTCAAATGGGACGTTTCCTGAGCGTCTTGGAAGTAGAAATCAGTAAAGTTCCGAATAAGCCCGTTCGATCTGCTCTTCCATCGCTCCGCATGGGGGCTTCTTTCCGCCGCAACTTTTGCAACATTCTCTTTCTCAACCGGGGAAAATACCAACGCGATCAGGATCTCTCGTCTTCAATTTGTAAACCACCGACGACCGTAATGCAATTTCAGTTCCTCGCTGAAAGAAAATACGCACGATGTATATATGTATACGCTCGGTTCGTAGATCATTCGGTAAAAATGACGTAACGAGACCGTCGCCCAGAAATATCCAGGAGATATTTGAGGGACTGAATAGACGAAAGTGGGACAAGCGTAAAAGAATGATTTGAAAACGTGCCAAAGCTCGCATGACACTCGTCGAAGCGCCGACGAAATTTTCGACGGGAACCATCCACCGAACAGCGAAACAGTTCTTTCTTTGTTAAATAATTTTTTTTATTAAATATCATTATTGACTATCAACAAAATTATTTAACATGTGAAAAAATTGAAGATAATAAAACATTTAAGTTGTATAAATAATTATATAAAATGCACATTCTTTTGGCTGAAAATTAAGTTCTCATTCAATTATAATTTTTACTGTTGCTTGTAAATTGATAGCCGATCCGTGCAAGAAACACGGTTTTTATTTAACAGTTTCAAAATTATACATACGATTTCTGTTTAGGTCTCGATGCCGTTCAAAGTTCCATTGTCCTGCGTGGTGGTCTCTTGACTCTTCAGAAAGAAGCATCGGTAGATCGTCGCCGCGATAATGGCGCCTCCGATCGGTCCCACCCAGTACAACCAGTGATGTTCCCAGAAGTTGTTCCAGACAGCCGGTCCTAACGTTCTAGCGGGATTCAAGCTGCAGCCGGTGTGAGGGATGAAAGCGAGACACAGCATGGAGACACACAGGCCGAATTTCAGCCCCAGTGAGTCGGTGTTCTTTGCGTTTCGCGTGTCCCAACTTGCGCAGGCGAAAAAGGCAAATATGCCCGTAGCGAAAGCCTCAGCCACGAGTCCCTGAGCGCCCGACAGATTGCTATTAATGTTATTCGTGCAGAACGTGGCGGCTGTGTTTGAATCACCATCATGCGTCAACCTCGGTGGCGTTATTATCTGTCAATTGATATTAAGAACAAAAGTTAACGCAATTTGAATTAAATTCGATTACCCTGAAAACGTAAATTTAATCGCACACTTTGCGCAAGTTCGCTAGACTATTCATCGCTGTTTTGTGCAAGGATTTTCGTAACAATTTGAACTAGTAATTAAAATTTTATTTACCACGATCCAAGGAATTCTAGCATTTTGGACGATCGGATGATGCAATTGACGAGCATATAGAGATAATCTTTTATCTTTCAGAGCAAGCTCGGCCGCTCGCGGGCTAAAAATAATCTCGATGTCTGTAGCTCAAGATAACGTAATTTTTGATAACGCGCTATGTGTGTATGTATAGGAGTGTATCGGCAGAGAGTTTGCGCCGAAATAAATCCTCATCTGAGTGTGTTTGCCGAAATGTAATCTGAATGTGTTTTTCTGTAATCTATAAATAAATGAATATACACGCGTATTCATTGACCTGTAGCAGGCCGTAACCTAACATGGCACCCAAGCATTGTGCAACGATGTAGAATCCGGCCATCATAGGGGACCTCTTGCCGAGTATCACTGCGGCGAACGTAATAGCCGGATTGAGGTAGGCGCCGCTGATGTGGCCAACGCACTGGAAAGGAACGAATATGCATTTAATCTCGGCGATAAGATTCGATAATGTTGAATGGCACCAAGAGGATGTGCCGCTTAAAAATACTTGCTTTTATATATTTAATTCTATTCACGAAACAATACATATTAATACATATTAATTATTAATTATTAATGTTATTAAAATGTATAAATACAGAATGAAAAACCCTGAGGCGATTGGAAGGAATAAAAAGTAAAGGATAAACCAAATGTTATTGAAAAGTTGACTAATGTATTGGCGCGTCACGATACGACATTGACGACTCAAATCTCAATAAAAGATTCAACATCAACGCTAATTGTGAGATTCAAAGTGATTTATATATACCTGCACAGCGATCATAACGGCGAGACCGAAAGCGAAGGCGATATGTATGAGAGACGGCCCATCCCCAGCTTTATACGGCTTCATACCGCCCAAGCACGCCATGCATCCCAGAAAGACCAGAATTGCGGTTCCAATCAATTCTGCCAGGACAGCCATGGACTTGTCCCACGTACTGTCTTCCTCCTTCTTCTTTATCCCTAAGGTATTAACAGACATTTTCAGCTTTATCATGCCGACAATACTTATACGCGGTGTCAAATTTGTCGTCGCGATGCGAAATTTTTGGATATTTATTGAATTCGTGAATTTATGATATTTTCGCTTCTCACAGAAAAAGTAAATGTACATACACCGACTTCCGATAAAAGGCACTCGTCCAATTGTAAGAGACATCTATATCAAAGTATCTTTATATAAGTGATAATAAACTCAAGCATGTTTCGCGAAGTACTTCTAAATTCGAGATACCGATTTTTTAATGGAAATGACATCTCGAGTTGTACACCTTGATACGAAGATATTTTTTTCGGTATCGGTATTAGCACAAGATATGGGATACACGAGGTAATGATAAATTTTTGCGATACATATTTAATGAATTACCTATTTATTTAAATTTTCTGATGAAATACAAATCGGCGAATTAAATCGTAAAGCTCATTAATTAAAAGAAATGAAACACTAAATACTTTATATTATGATTTCATAGAGATTGTGTACGGCACTCTCGTGCCTTTGTGAAAAAGTACGTGCGTTCTCATCATCGATCTCGTAAACGTGCCCCAGCGGCGCTACATACATTAATTAAAAGACAACTATTGTATACACAATCGGAGAGTCCAACGGCGGCGTATCTTTATTTTCTGCGCATTACACAAGCCGAAGAGACATTTATTTACTGAATGTATAATCGAGAGAAGTCAAGAAGACGCGACGGTTCAACCCGTTGAGTGCAGCCGTGTAACGACGACGTTTCGTTTCCGAAGCAGATAATACACGTAACGACGATGGTAACATACACGTACGCAGGTATGTATATTCAAATCATCAACTGCGATCCATGCACAGCTCTCTTGGTTCATTAGTGAGAGGAAAAAGCAAAACGTGGTTCTACATCTTTTCAAGTATATTTTTATTGTAGTCCAAGATACAATTTATTAAAATGTGAGATTATTCCATCTAGTTGATTTTACATTTAAAAATTCTTGAGAGAAAGTATTCTCGGCATCATCTTTTTTTTTTCTAAATTAGTACCGCCGTTAAAAGTAATTTTTGGAATTATCTGTAATACAGAAATTAATTCCAAGCGAATTCTTTTCAAGTGATATTTAGGCAAATTGCTTTTCTTGAAATTTCGACATTTAAAACTGACAATATTTTCACGTCATGTTCCCATTTTGATAAAACAGTCGATTGTCCTTTAATGAATTCTAAAAGTATAACAGTTTTCGGCGTGGGAGCGTTTTTGGATCGACAGGCGGGATAACTTGGACTGTCACTTTGTTGTAAACTTTTGAGTGGAAACTTTGTTCGCTCGACGTCGAATGCGATTACCACTGGTATAAACCAGGGGATGGGACGGGTCAACGTTGAATTTACATGAAAGCATCGGTAAAGTTATGCACATCGGAGGTCGATGTTCGGAGCGGCTCTAGCGTTGTCGAGAGAGGACGTTGGACTTCAATAAGTATTCTCCATTGAATGTCGCTCCATTGAGCGCGCTTTCCGTTCTTTTTTTTTTCTTCTTGACAAGGTGGCATAGTTTCCTCCTCGGACGTCCGTGAAATTTGCCCGACGTAATTCTCGCGAGGGCTAGCGCGTAAAATTTTCACCGTATGCAAAAGGGCTTTGAAATTTTCGCTCGAGAAGCCGAAAGTTGAACTGAATTATAGTTCGCGTTGTTAAATTAAAGTACGCCCCTTTGAACAAGCTCAGTCGTCGTAGTGCTCATCATTTTCGCGTTATTTCGCTGCGCAACTTCTATCTATTTCGTTCCGCATATTTTAATTCTGTTCGAAGTACTAGAATTAAGTTATATGCGTATAAAAGATGTGTATATAGTTTTCTTTTCATGTTTCCAATTGCGCGCCATATTTTAATGTAAATACGAAATATATCAAACACTTATATCGTGTTTTATACGTCTCGTGTTAATATTAAAATATGGCGTGCAATCGGAAACGTGAAGAAAGAAAACTGTGTTTATCCTGTGCCATATTTTACCATATTAATGCGAAATATATCGAACTTATCGTGTTTTACAAGTCTCGTGTTAATATTAAAATCGTGTATTATATATTGAGTAATAATCTCGGGTCAACATTCCATCTCTCAGGCGTCTACGAAGAAGTATTATTAACAGTCAAGTAATCTGCAGTCAGAGGTCAAGACTCGCGTGATATTTCTTCTTGCAGCCTTCATGATTTTGCGACTATTTATCGATGTGTTAATAATAAAGCTTTATAAAATTGTCCAAAATATACATATTTGATATTTTCGACAATTTTATATAACTTTATTTTATATCGTTTTAAGTTTACGAGTCAATAGAACTCACTTATTCCAATTAACAATTTGTTCGACATAATTCAACACAGTTATTTCTTTTGTCATATTTTATTTAAATATTTGCCATTCTAACATTTTATGCATTTCGCCACTTTTATCTCGTTATCATAGGAAGATATTTAATATCTAGATATCTCTGAAAATAGTAATAGCTTGCCTTCTCTTATTTATTTTTACGATTAATTCAGAAGATATTTGCTCTCTATGCAGAGTATGAAATTATTCAATCCGTATTATATTTATGTTCGCGATATAGAGAAAAGCAAATATTAATTAAATCAAGCACGCGCACGTGTATTAATTTAATCAAACACCTCGTTAAAAAAAATACGCGCATGATTTGATTGTTTAACCGTTCGCTGTAATTAACTTATACAGTAGCGAACGCAATATCCATTATCTACTCTTCGAAATCGAAAGTTGATGAACGTTCAGAGTGTTTTCTGTGCGCGACAAAAAAAAATAAAATATTAAAAATAAAATATTCACGGTCTACGCATATGTACTTTCGTGCAAAATTAATTTGGCACGACTTAATGCTTTCGTACCTTTTTTACGGAATTATAAAAAAAAAATCTATCGCGCGGTAGAAGGTAATGCTGAATTTTGCAAATCTCTGTGTTTTTGTGTCACGCGATTCAACGTACTCGCTGTCTCGCCTCCGACATCTCGCGCAGAGAAATTCTTCGGCGTTAATTTACAGTTGCGCCGCGCATCACGCGGGGCATTGTGTGTAGCATCCGTGTTTTGCATTTCCTGAACGGATCATTCAGATCCTCCGCCGTGCATGCGCGCAACGCCCGACTTCCACATTCATATGATATTCATAACATACGGATGTCAATATCCTTCGGGTTTAATCGCGCTTATACATATACATATCCGACCCCCGCATCTCTGAACTATGCATAGGGGATGCCGACGCACGTTTGCCCTAGAATTACGGCCGAGTTCTCGTGATTAACCGTGTGTCGCGCGGATATAATTAGAACCGAACACGTGTCACGTATGATTTCCATTAATATACACACGACTCGGTGCGACACGGACCGGGGACCGATAGTGATCAGTCATCGGGCGCTCGCGGATTAGCCGGATTTCGATACGATGACGGAAACGTAATCCGACGTGCACCGGAGCCGTTCAAAGTCGCGCGTTTATCCTCTTAAAAACCGGGCACTCCGATACTCCGAATCATATTGATTGCGGAAATAAATACGTAATTTCGCGAGAAACGGAACGGTATAATATAAATCTACATTATTTTTTATATTTTGAAAAAAGCATTATATATATATATATATATATATAAAGTTCAAAATTAAATGTCTATAGTTATTTAATTCTGAATTACATTATTTATAATAATTTTGTAAATTCTGACAAAAAAAAACCTAAAATTTTATATCACATTGTAAAATAATAAGTATGGAAATTTATATGCCAGCGGCAAATCGGATCGTTTAAATTTTATATGTGAGCCATATTGACGTGAGCTATCAATAGTTTACGTCAACAGCTTAATAAAAATGCTACCAGATAAGCTGGCACTTTTGTCTTTTCCAAGTTTTTGTTTGCGCATCGTATTATAAGGTCTTATTTAACGAACACAATTTATACTAAATCGCTCATTATATTTAAGAAACTTTATCGTCTTACTTATTTTCATTTATTACTCTCTGTTTCCCATTAATTCATATATATATAAAATCGAAACTCGCGCATCTATAATTTATAGGAAAAAACGTTTCGCTTGTATTTCCTTTTTGTTTATATTACAAGAGAGAGAACGATTACGAAAGAAGATAATTCAACATGTTCATAAAGACTGATCGGCCGGTAGTTAATCGACATAAAGAAATTAGACCGTGCAGCTTAATACGAGCTCTCTTAACGTTTCGCTAATTTATCGCCGGTTAATGATCCGATGGTCGTAAAGATGGTGAGGTACTGGCGGAATAAAGTGTAGAAAGCCATTGCGCTGCGCGTTGTACATCAGGACCGCGAGTTAGAAACTCCGCCGGAGGAAAACACATGCGATCGCTTCGAGCATCGCACGGCACGTACCTATATCTGTATTCACGGAAATATATCTTCGCCAGAGGAGAAGAGAGAGAGAGAGAGAGAGAGAGAGAGAGACGTGCACTTTCCAAGTTCCACGTAACTCTTGGACTCGCGCGGCGCGCGGGGCATATCTTCAAATCGCTAATTAAAAAAACCAAACTGCGGAGAACGAGAGGCTGACGGTACATAATTAGCAGGAAAGTGCAAGAGCACGTAATTACGGATCGCGAAAGTATAAATCAACAATTACGCTCGCCGGGTGAAATGTCCCGTGCTTACATGCGCTTCGCCTTCTTCTTTGTTTTTAACAGGGTGGTGAAGCTAACTGCTAATTTGTGTGTGATGAAATTAACACGAGATCGACACGCGCGGCTCGTGTATGGAAGTCGTGCGAGCGATCCGCGTCTCGGGGAGAGAAAGGAGATAAGGAAAAGCATCGAATGAAAGCGCGAAGCGGGTCGACGCGCTGCTTTCATCGATGCACCATCTACGGTATCACTCGTACAAATATAAATTAACAACGCTTCTCTTCGATGTGCGACGCGCCTGGGGAAATCTTCATCGGTGTATACCGACTACGACCATAGCGCGAGTTTACCAGCCATCGATAGACTCTGCACGAAGAGACGGGAAGAGATCTACCGTATCGCGACTCTCTCGCAGTTGATTGATAAAGCAGCAATGTGCAATAATTATGAATATTGCACGTCGCAGAATATTCATGCATTCCTGTTATTTTTATAGGTTCTCCATTGTCAGACTGCATCATATCAGAAGTTTGGATAACGCGCTATTAATTCCGAAACGATTTATTTGATTAATTGAACGACCGACAATGTTGCGATTCAAGCTGTAATTAATAGTAATTAATAGCCGCAGACAAGTGCTAGATTAATGGCCATAATTTTTTTATGGCATTATAGCAGTTTTATAATGGGAAGCATTTCGATGCAACGCGCGTAGCTCTCGTCGTGTAAATTTATCTAATTAGCGAACCGTTGAAATGTTTGCATTCCGCTATTCTCATTTTTCGCAACGCGCCTCGTAACTAGATAGCGCAGAGCTGCAGCGCGCGCTATCGTAACTGGCGTAAGCGCGCAGGATTGCGGGGAAGGCAATTTATTTCGATGATTCGCCACGGAAAAGTATCGGGGAATTACCGGCGTACCGCAAATTTCAATGATCTCTAATAGCGGCGCGCGGTGTACTACGCGAGCAGTGAAATTTCCATAAATCAATTGCACTGAAAAGGATAGAAAGCCTGCAGTTTTTCTTGTAAGCGTGTAACGATGCAACGTACGATGACGAGCAACGAGTGCGTTTCGTGTTACGGTGATGTCCGGTGAATTTCTCGCGTGGCGGACTTTTGAGATGAGACTCGCACTCGTGCATTTCGT